GAGCCCAGTTGTAACACCCCCGACACACACACGTCACTGTGATGCCCCAGCCCAGTTGTAACACCCCCAACACACACACAGAGCCTGACCTCTCACCGGTGCTCCACATCTGTTCTTTCACTGATTGGATTAGTCCTTGTCTTGTTCCTGTCTTTATGAATTAGGCACCAGGGAAATGTTTTGAAAATTACCTTTTCTTCTTTGTGAGAATTTGATGCCATTCACCAGGTATACACTGAGTGCCTTCTTGGGGCCAGCCTTGCCCTCAGCCTGTGCGCCAAGAGGTATCCTCGGGATTGGACCTCTCCTTGAAGTGGCCCATTTTCAAGGGACTGACAAGCACTTGTAAAACTAAGTTTTGAGCCAACGGTCATGACAACAAATTGAGACCTCATGAGGGGCCTGTGGGGCACAGAGATGGGTGCATTCCACCTGAAGATGGGTGGGGAAGGTTTCTCAGAGGAGGTAACCAGAGAACTGGGCCGGCAGGATGAGTAGGGGGCTGAGGATGCAGGGGAGGGTGGTTTATTAAAAGACTGACTATGTGCCTGCACACCTGGGAGAAGTGAGGAAGGAGGGTAGCTGTAGAAAGGTGGGAGTGAACAGACCAGAAAGAAAGTTGGGTGCAGAAGCTATAAGGCTACAGAACAGGTTAACAGCTGCCGGTCAACATGGCTGTCCTTGGAGAATGGCACTGAAAGCCAACTTGTGGAATTTTTTTCTCTTTCTAGGTGGGGGTGGAGGCTGAGGGCTCTGGCCTAGCCTGGGGCTCAGGCTTGGACTTCGGCTCCGGCTCTGGTGATGTGGTGCACAGTGAGGAGCTATTAAGAGTGAGTATGAAGGGTTAAAGGAGCACTCATGGTGTAGTGGGTGAGGCGTTGGGCTGCTAAACACAAGGTTGGTGGTTCAAGCCCACCAGTCCACTCTGTGAGAAAAAGATAAGACTGCCTGCTCTGGTAAAAAGTTAATCTCAGAAACCCTAAGGAGCAGTTCTACTCTGACCTACAGGGGCGCTAGGGTTGGAATTGGATTGATGGCAGTGGGCTTAGTTTGGTGTGATGAAGTAGGTGACCTAGTGTCTGGGATTTCATTCAGGTCCTTCTGGGAGGGGAGGACGTGGGAGTTGGGTCATAGATGAAACTAGATGGGCCAACACTGATGATTACTAAAACCAGTGATGGGTTCATTATACGTTCTTCTCTATGTTTGTATGTTGTTGAAATGTTCCACTTCTACAAACAATGTTTTAAGTAAGTATGAGCTCCATGCTCATTCTCAGGACCCTGACAGCCTTGTGGAGTGGGCTGTTCCTCCACAGCCTTCAGCAAGAGGACACTTGACGGCACTTCTCCTCTCGTTCCTTATACACCAGAGAGACTGGGCCGCATTTCACACTTCAGGTCCTGACCTTCCTTGAAATCGCACCCTGAGCCTCCACCTCAGTTGCTATCTAACTGTCTCCTTGTCTGTCTGGCTCCCTTTGCCTTCGTTGGCACGTCTAGCCTCCCTGGCTCCTGCCCAAAGCGGGACTCTATGGTTTCTCTCTAAACTAGCCTGCTCTCATCTTCAGCCTTCCTTTGAGCTGACTACCTGTGCCCAGTCCCCTCTAGAAGGCTGTCCTTGAATGTCCTTCTGCCTGATCCTAGAAGGGCTTTGGTCTCTCTGGATGAGTGAATCAGGAGCCAAATGGGGCTTCTCGCTGGCAACAGGAGCCCAGCAAGAGGTCAATGAGACTGGTACATTTCAGGAAGATTTTTAGCAAGGGTTAAAACAATAGGCAGTTTTCATTTGAAGCCCTCAGTTAACCAGAAAACTAAATTATCCAGAGCACCTGAGGATTCTAACTGGATTTTTGTTACAGGCACACATCTAACTGTATACACACAAACATAAAATAATGGGGTCAGAATGCCCTGGATTCAAATATCTGCTCTTGCACTAATTAACCATGTGAGTATGAACCTTGGAGTAAATCACGTCATCTCACAAACCTTAGTGTCCCCATATGCAAAGTGGCAATGCCAATCTTCACCTCTGTTGTAAGGAACTTTGGTAGCGTACTGGTTACAAATCGGGCTGTGAACCTCAAGGTCAGCAGTTCGAAACTACCAGTTGCTCCGCGGGAGAAAGATGAAGATTTCTGCTCCCATAAAGATTTACAGCCTCGGAAACCCTGTACAGGGTCGCTATGGGTCAGAACCAACTCAACGGCACTTAACAACAACAACAACCTCTGTTGTAGGACTCCTGGTGTGGTGCTGTAGGATCAGCACTGGACTGCGAACCACAGGGTCGGCAGTTCAAGCCCACCAGCTGCTTCTTGGAAACTTTATACAGTGTTGTTATGAGTTGGAACTGATTCGACGGCACTTATTAACAAACAACAACCTCCACTGTAAGGAATGGAAAGGGTGCAGAGCACATATGTACTTAGTATATATTTATTTATACCTCCTTTCCCCTACTTTCCATTTCTCATAGTGTCTGTTTTCCAGGGTCCACCAGGCCCCCCAGGCCCACCTGGCTCACCTGGGATTCCAGGAAAACCAGGAGCTGATGTTTTCATGGGACCTCCTGGATCTCCTGGTGAGGATGGAGCGGCTGGTGAACCTGGGCCCCCGGTGAGCATCTGAAGTCTGTTCCCTTTGGCCACAGGGCTTCCTGTTAGTGGGGGAGGTAGTATGGCTTGGAGATCCCCAACCTTGGCTGAGGCTCACACAGGGAAAGAGCAGCTAGCTGATGTTTGTAAACAGAAATCCTCCTCATTGAGTCATGACTAAGATTCATGAGAAGAGGTGCCAAGAAAAATCCGTTACTTTGCTGCTGCATCTAAGTCAGTATCAGAAACACTCACTAGCAGGATCACAGAATCATTGGCCCAGGCTGGGAGACCCTTGGAGACCATCTATTCTAACCGTGCCCAGAGAAGCATCTTCCACCCACAGAGGAGTGACATACACTGTCCAGAGGTGTCCTCACCATGGCCAGACACTGGCCTTCCATGGACCTGGCACAAAGCCTGGGTCCCCCTGGCCTCACCCATTGGGTCCTCCCAACCCTGTGTTCTTTATTCTTACCAGAGATATGGTGAGTTGATTGTTGTTGATATTCTCAGGGCCCAGAGGGAGAGCCTGGACTTGATGGAGCCTCCGGTCTTCCAGGGATGAAAGGGGAAAAGGTAACAGAAGGTGGGAGGTTCCGACACCTGGGAGCCGCTGGGCCTACACATCCTTTCTAACTTGTAGCTCCCCTGTCCTGGCTGCTCATCTCCGTCTCTGGCTCCCATCATCTGGTTCAGTATGCCCAAACCTGGACTGAGCCTCTTCTAGCTCCATTTCTGTGTGTCCCCAGCTTCAGAGACAACACCACTGGGTTCAAAATCAGGACTCTCTCACTCTCCTTCCCACTTCCGTTCTACCAACAGAGCGATCACTGGCCCAGCCCTCCCCACCCCTCATTTTCTCTGCACCCTGCTCAGACTTCACCTTTTCTCAAATTTGGCTCCTCACTGGGGCCCCACTCTCTCTAACCACGGTCCTTCCTTCACTGGGCTGCCCACTTCCTCATCCGGTCAGCAGGCACTGCTCTGTCCACTAGGAAAACATCACTGCCTGAAGGACAAAGCCCTAGCCATGTTTGGAACAAACCATTTGTCATTTGTTCATTCCTCACGTGTGCAGTTTAGTGGCATTAATTGCATCCATCATATTGTATAAGCAACAACATTACTGATTCCCAGCTGTTTCATTACCCTCAGCAGATGCTCAGGGTCTCCAAAGCAGTGAATCCCCTTTTCCTCCACTCTCCCACCCACACCTAGTAACCACTAATAACTTACAAACTGGCCTCAGGTCCCTTCACCATCGGCACTGGCCTGCCTTCCTAGTCCATCTTCCACCCCTCCCTCTGTGACGTCCATGCCTGAAAGCCAGCCCAACCCAAAGTCTCTGGCCTGCTTCTCTTTCCAGCCTCCTGGCTTTTGTGCATAGTTTGATGTTTGGGATGTCCTTTCCCTTTCCCTTTCCTCATTCTCAGATATGTCCTCTGGTAAGCTCTCCACACCAGCTGATGAGTGGAAAATATTCCTCATCCCTTCAGCAGTACAGCACCTACTCTGCTATGGCCCCTTGTAAACCAATGACACTGGTGTGTGCTCCCACCCCAGCAAATAGGAGGCACATGGCCTGTATTCTCAGAGCCCACACAGCCATTATTAGCATTGGATGACTGGGTGACACTTCCCCAGATGCTGAAACATTTTCATCCACCATTCCTGGAGTCTCTGGTGCCTTCATTCTCTGGAGCCCTCCGTCTGGAAGTCCCCAGTTGGGTGTCCCCAGTTTGGGGATGAGGTTGTTATGGCAGCAAAGGGGGCCATGAAGATACAGTGAGCACATGCTAATGATAGAGTCTGGAGTTTAACTGGAATCCTCTGGAGGAGGGTCCCTCCCAACTGGGGTGGGGAATGGAAAGGTCTTCTGTACACCCTCCTGGATGAAAACATGGAAAATGCCAACTGCCTACAGTCATCCTTTTTCACTAGACTGAATCCCCGCCTTCAGTCAGCTCTCAAGGGTGTTGATTTTAATTGAAACAGTAACTTGATTTTCAAGGAAGATCATTTCTCAGAAACAGAAAAAGGAAACAACTGTCAGGCTTTTGAGAACTCATTTTACACATACCCACTGTTTCACTCGAAATTAAATTTTGCAGGAAACATCACAGACCCATGCTCAGCTTATCTGTCCCTCTTACCAGCTTCCTCCCACCTCACTTCTCCTACTTACTAACCAGGTGTTGAACTGAAAACTACCTACACCCACATCCATGGGCAGCCCCCACACAAGTACACTCAGAGACCCAGCTGTGAGCTGTGCTGTAGGGTTTTGCCCCAGGGAGTTGTGGGAGAGAATTGTGCTTGTTGGTGTCTGAAATGTGTCAGTATTCCTAATGTGTTTGTGTACATGATGTTTCCTCAGGAGCCTTAGATGGTGCAAATGGGTAAGCACTCGGCTACAAACCAAAAGGTTTGTGGTAGCCACCAAGGTGTAGTACCTCGGTAGAAAGTCCTGGCAACCTACTTCTGAAAGGTTACAGCCCTGAAAATGCTAAGGATGCAGTTCTACTCTGATATACATGAGGTCACCATGAGTCAGAACCAACCTGATGGCAGCGGGTTTGATTGCTTTGTTTTGAATGATGCTTTCTGGTCAAGTAAAAGCAGACCCTTGAAGGACTCAGAAGTTTGTGTCTTTCCTTCTGAGAGAGCCTGAAGGAAACCTTACACATGACACTGTGAAAAGAAACTAAGGAACTTGATCTAGATGTGTAGGATACAGAAAGCAAATGTGTTTCTCTTTATAACTGAGTGATAAGCCATTGCAGATATGTACCACATTTTACTTATCTAGCTGTCTGTTGATAGGGAGTCAGGTTGTTTCCATCTTTGGGCTGTTGTGAATAGTACCGTCCTGAACATTGGTGAATGTGTACCTAGAATGTGGGACATACACACAATGGAATGTTATTCAGCCATAAAGAGAAATCAAGTCCTGATACACGTTGCAACATGAGTGAATCTTGAAAATAATCATGTTGAGTGAAGTCACAAAGGACAAATGTTATGGGATTTGACTCATAGGAAAGATCTAGAACAAGCAAATGAATACAGATCTAAGGTTATTAGTGGTTACCAACAGTGGGTGGGAAGGACAAAGGAGATAAGGAGGCCCATTGCTTAGGAGACACCAAGCTGCTATTAAGGGCATAGGAAAAAGTTGGGAAGGATAATGGTTCACAACCTGATGCACACAATTACCGTCACTGTAGGATAAACACTGGAGTGCTAACCGCAAGGCCACCTGTCATTCTTGGAAACCCTATACAGGATCCCACACAACAACAACAAATTGCAATTGAGAATAATGTTGAAATAGCAAATGTTCTGTTCCAAATATATTTACTTTAACCAAAAACAAACAATAGTACACACAACAGCACACACGCGTAAGAAAATACATGGGAACGAAAATAAATAATCTCAGGGATGTGTACAACATCAGATCCAGTGACACTCCCATCAGTGGTATTTGCTCTTCAGCTTGCATACCTCCTGTGACAAGGAACTCATTTCTTGCCCAGTCAGTGCCTTCCACCGATGTCTTTCCTCAGGCTTCCATGGAAGCTGCCTCCCTCCTCACTTGCAGGGCACCTAGCCTAGGCTAGGCCAGCATCGAAGTGGACTTTGGGTGCAGCAATTCAATGCACCCCAACCTCAGAGATCAGCGCTCATAGCTGGCTACTTTCTGTGGGACCCACATCCAACCCCCAGATGTTTCCAGAAGAGAATCCTCATCATTCCACACGTCTCCCAGACTCTAGTGGATACATGCACGCTATCGAAGCCCCTTCACTTAGCTCAGAGTAGAGGAAACAGTTCTCCCCTTCATCACGGTGGGGTGGGGAAGGGGACTTCCCTAGCACACTAACATGCGCCAAAGGATCCTTCCCCTGTGTGACTTCTCCCTGGCTTTTACTCTTGAGCAGGCAATGAGCGGATAGTTGAAAAGCAGATTTCGCAGCTTTCAGCATGCCTTGCACAGGGGACTCAGTATCTCAAAGCCAAGCTCCGTGGCTTTGAGATACCACCAACATCAGGACAGAGTCCCAGTTTCATACCTTGTCACTCGAGTCCATAGTCTGCATTTACTTACCTCTGTTGCATGTGCTCATTATACATACATAAGCTCTGATAGCATAGTGGTTACGAATCAGGCTGCGAACAACAAGGTCAGCAGTTTGAAACTACCAGCTGTTCTGTGGGAGAAAGATGAGGCTTTCTGCTCCTGTAAAGATTTACAGCCTAGGAAACCCTGTACGGGGTTGCTATGAGTCAGAACTGACTCCATGGCACATAGCAACAACAACAATAACAAGAGGTAAATAGAGTCCTGTAGTGGCTCTGTGAGATAAAGCACTGGACTGCAAGGTCGGCAGTTCAAACTCACTAGCTGCTCCTTGGAAACCCTATACAGGTGTTCACTATGAGTCAGAACTGACTCAGTGGCACTTAACAACAACCACAACTTCAGATACATATTCACTATACATATGAGATATATATTTGTTATACCTACTTACGAGATATGTGGAGTCCTGGTGTGGCATGGTAGAATAAGCAGTGGACTGTTATGCACAAGGTTGGCAGTTCAAACCTAGCAGCCATCCCTCAGAAACACTATATAGGGTCGCTGTGAGTCAGAACCCACTTGATGTCATTTAACAACAATGAGATATTTGAGTGGCTCTATAGGATAAACACTGGACTGTGAGCCACAAAGTTAGCAGTTCAAGCCCATCAGCCACTGTGCAGCAGAAAAATGAGGTTTCCTGCTCCCACAAGGATTGACAGCCTCAGAAACCCTATACAGTGTCACTGGGACACCATGAGCTATATATTGATTACACATATATATGACTTAGATTTTCATTAACTTTTTCTTTTTTGTTTTCAGGGAGCAAGAGGGCCTAATGGCTCAATTGGCAAAAAGGTAAAAAAAAAAAAAAAAAAAAAATTTAAAATAAAGGTTTCTTTTTCTTCCTCTCCTTCCTTTCTTCATTGTTGTTGTTGCTAGGTGCCATTATAATGACCCTATGTCCAACAGAACAAAACACTGTTTGGTCCCGTGCCATTCTCACAATTGTTCCATTTGAGCTCGTTGTTGCAGCCACTGAGTCAGTCCAGCTAGTTGAAAGTCTTCCTCTTTTTCACTGACCGTCACTTAACCAAGCCTGATGTTCTGCTCCAGGGACTGGTCCCTCCTCCCTCATGTTCAGAGTACCATTGATAAAATCTTGTCATCCTCCCATCTACAGAGCATTGGGCTGTATCTCTCCCAAGACAGATCTGTTGGTTTGCCTGCGGTTCACGGTGCTTTCAATCTTCCTAGACAGCACCTTTCTTTCTTTCACTGTAACTGGACTGTTGGGCTGGACTGTTGAATGTATCCATGTCATGGGGCAGAGAAATCCATCTCAATGGAACTTGGCAGGGGAGGCCTAGCAACTGGGGGTAAATTCCCTTCGAGGTTTTCTCCTATCTCACCCTCTCCCCACAAGTGCATTCAGATGCTCCAAGCAGCTTCTTTCCAAGAGAAATGCCAATTAGCAAGACAGCTGCTCTGTACCCTGAAGCAGCACCAAGCAGGGAATTCATCAACCTAATTAAGTTCAAAGAATGCCTCTCTGACTCAGGCGAGCACTCTTCTCCTGCAAGTGAATGCAGGACTGGGTCATCAACTTGTCCTCTTTCTTGCAGGGTGATCCCGGAAACAGAGGCTTACCAGGCCCCCCGGGCAAGAACGGACAAGTTGGCACCCCAGGACTCATGGGTCCCCCAGGACCACCTGGACCACCTGGCCCCCCTGGCCCTGGATGTGATGTCGGACTTGGATTTGAGGTCATTACCCCCTCTCTGTGGTTACAAAACCATGTACAGTAACGGCTACTGGAGAGGAGGCTGGTCCTAGGGTGGGCCTGCACTCATCCTCCTCTGGGATCCCAGCTCCCAACACCACACCTGGCACAGGTAGATCCCAGGACATGGTGCCTGTTGCTGAAGTTGTCATTCTTTCTTCTTTCATAGGATAGTGAAGGCTCTGGAAACATCAGGCTGTTGAACGAACCCAGAATCTCCCGACCAACAGTGTCTAGTGTAGGTTGATTTTTGAAACTTTCTCTATGAGGATTTTCCTATTGTCACGCTGGAGTTAGAGACCTCAGGATGGGAGACACATCCCCTTCAGCAGCTGGTCTTCTCACTCTCTGTGGGGTGGCCTTTCCTTCAGACTTTGTTCCCACTGTCTGGGATGCTGTCAGTGGTAATTTAGGGAGAGATGGGGGATATAAATGAGCAAAGTGAATAGAAGAAAACCAAATAATTTGTTGTTGTTATCTTGTGTGTTTGTTTTTCAGGGTCTTAAAGGAGAAAAAGGAGACCAGGGACCCAAGGTGAGATCACAGATCTGAGGTGGGGAGGAGGGGGGCCCAGGGAGTGTGTTTTCAGCCTGGTTCTAGGAGCATTATCCATTTACAGTGGATCTTCTTTTTCTCATTTCTGGAACTAGGGTGACAGGGGAATGGATGGAGTCAGTAATATGGGACCCCCTGGGCCCCGGGGGCCGCCAGGGCGCATCGAGATTTTGCCTAGTGTGAGTATCATCCTGATTGGAGCTTGGTTCATGTAATTTTTGGCCTGGATAAAGGGAAGATGGGAGTCCTGGTGTGGTGCAGTAAGATAAGCACTGAACCTCGGTCTGCTTGAACCGCAAGGAAGGCAGTTTGAACTCCTCAGCCACTCCTTGGAAACCCCAAACAGGATTTCTATGAGTCAGAACTGACTGAGTGGCACTTAACAACAACAACTAAGTGGGAGGAGGTTGAACACAACTTGTCTACTGTTATGCAGAGGCACAGAGTGGGCATGGGTGCCAGGCACTTCTACCAGCCAGCCTCTCTCCTCTCCCTTCCCCTCTTTCATGGTGCTTCCAGAACATTCTTCTGGCTGACACCACATGGGGACAAACTCAAAACTGAGCCAGGAGCATGAGAGGTGTTGAGGCCTTGAGGAAGCCAAATATTGAACAAGTGGAGAAAGAAAATAAAATATCCCAAACACCACCTTTATTACTAAAGGTGAAGTCAAAGGACTTAGCCTATGGGATAGGCAAATGCTCCTGCTCACTGAACCCCATATCCTGCAGACCTGCCCATCCGTCCCTGGACATGCTCTCTGGAGGCAGGTGGATCCCGAAAGAAAGTTAAGTGATGCTGGACTGAGCATACCCGCTTACACTTACGCATACTGTCAATCAGATACACTACTACCACCCAGGAGTGGAGTCAAAGGCCAAGAGAAGTCACTAAATGAAACCCCTTCATGTCAAAGGTGTCAAGTGAAGTGGACAGAGAAGAATCCCTACCCACAGCCTCATCAATAGGGAAGTCAGTAATGTGTGACCATTAAGATGTCTGCAGGACAGGCCTCCCAGAGCAGGACCGCCCACCCCTTCCTTCAGGTCTGTGTTCAGGCCCGTCTCCCCCACATGCTCCCAAGGGTCCTTTCATCCTGAGTTCCAGTGCCTGGCACACAGTGCATGCTACATAACTGTTAGCAGAAAGGAATGTTAGCGGTCATGTAATCTTTTTCAGAATCCACTGGGCGCTACACAGCAACAGCAAACACCCCTGTGTGTACACTCCATATCAGGTCCCATGCTAGGCCCTGTGAGTGCCTAGGTCAAACACAGTCCCCATCTTCCAGAACCCCCCAGTGCAGCAGGAGAGAATGACCATATAGTCCTGTAATGGAGAGGCAAAGAAACATAAATGACCAAATGAGAGAAAAGATGGTTTAAGATATGAGAGATCAAGGAAGGCTTTCTGGAGGAGGTGTCTTGGAGCAGGGACTTGAAAGCTGAGGTTGGCATGTTGTTGTTGTTATATGCCATCAAGTCAGTTCTGACTCATAGCAACCCTGTATGGGGTTTCCAAAGAGCAGCTAGCTGGTGGGTTTGAACCACCAACCTTGTGGTAAGCAGTACAGTGCTAATCCTGCAGTGCCACACCAGGACTCCATGGCATGGACGACAGGAATTCAGGGCCACCCTGAGCCAGACCACAGAGGTAGGAACATGAGGGTGTGTCCAAGGCACAGAAGCTGACTGGCATGGATTGAGTGGTGAGGGATGGAAAGTTGGAATGGCAGCTGGGGCCAGATGGCTGCCCACTTAGTATTAGGACATCACATTTGTGAAAAGTCGTGGCCCTCCTGAGAGAAATGATGTCATACTGGTAGATGCCAAAAAGACAAAAACCTCCAAATAGCTGGAAAAAGAATGACTGAAATAACAACAAAAGGATGATTAAAGCGTATCAAATGTGGGTGAAGATGAGGAGAAATAGGTCCTTTCAGTTGCTTCTGGTGGAAGTGTAAATTGCACAGCCCTCTTGGACAGCTCTTTGGCAGTCTGCTAAAACATGAACTGTCCATAGCCGACAATTTCATGTGGAAAGATTGCCAAGCTATATGCTTGAGTGAAAAAAGTAAGTTGAAGAATAATACATACAGTCTGATGCCATTTAAATAAACTAATCACACACAACATATACAGAAATGTGCAAAACAGCACTACATATTTTCTATGGGAGGGATGTGCGTTTAAATTTTTTAAAAGGAGAATACATTCATAGACTGTGTAATTTAAACATTAATTAAAAGACGAAAGTGATAAGGCGGCTCAGGGCTATTCTAGAAGAAGTGATTCGGGTGGGTGGGCTGATTTAGCTCTGTCCATTCCCTGTCCCGCTGGGTCACTTTAATTAAAGTCTCGCAGTCAGAAACAAGGCTGGACACATGCCATTCTTTGTCCTCATTGTCTGATTTCTTTTTCTCTTTCAGGCTTTAATCAATATCACTCAAGGCTTCATGAATTTCTCTGACATTCCTGAACTCATCGGGCCTCCGGTGTGTATAAAACTGCCCTAGAGTGAGCTTCCTACCCAGCTGCCCCTGTCCCTATTGAAACAGATTGGGCTTGGTTTGGAACCCTGTTAGCTCCTGAAGCTAACATGGGAATGGGAACATAGGAGTGAACTTTGCCGTTTTGGATAGTAACTCACAGGAACCTGGTAATGCTTAGTCGTCAGCCTCCTCAGGGGGATCGAGCACTTCAGAGACAGAGCAGGTGTGCTTGGAATTCAGGACAGTAGTAACAAGCAAACTGAGGTCTGTGCAATGCTTTTGGCCTGCTTTTATTTGCATTACCTCCTTTCACAGGCCAGGAAGAGCCTATCATTATACTAATGGGGATACTGAGGCCTAGGAAGGGAGCATGACTTGCCTTGGCCTTTGGAGCCCCATTTTAAGCGATCAGGCAGCTGACACAGAAGTTCAGTCACATGCTGAAGTCCACAATGTGGGTCCGTGGTTAAGACAGGGCTGAAGAGGAAGGCAGTGTCCTCCTCTAGTCTGTGCCATGGATCCGTGCCTGCTAAGTGGCAACTGGGGATAGAGGAAAGAGCCCTGGTTTGGGTCCCTTGGAGTTCAGCCCCAGCTCCACCACACACTACTTTGAGCCTCGGATTCTCCTCTCTGGCAATATCTCACCAGTCTTTGGGGCAGCTAATAAGAGGTGACAGGTGTGGAGCTGCTTTGTAAACAGAGGCCCTCTGCATAGGCCCACAAGACTTCTCCTTCCATGGCTGAGCAATCCAGGTGTCTGCTGATACCACCAGGCTGGCCCGCGGCCCCATCCTTGTCTAGGGAGGCATTTCTGCAGACATCTGGGAGGCTTCTCTGGAGCCAAGTTGCCATTTGTGTTGCGTGACCTGTGTTTGTGGGCATCTTCTGTCTCCAGGGGGATACCCTTTACTTGATTTTTATGAAAACAATAAAAAATACTCCAATAAGACTTGAAAGCATTTAGCTACAACAACAAAATAAACTAGCCCACAAATCAAAGTCCGTGCACGTAGGGTCTTTGTTTCTACTAAAGTGTGTTGGAGGCTCTGGTGATAGATTGATACTGAAGTAAAACACAGACAAACCTGAAATTGAAGATTGGCATCACTGTTCCATAGTTCCTGGACCCTGCCTGTATTGTTGTATTCACCTGTAATCTTCCTCCCTCTCAGTTTAGACCATAGACATCACTGTTCACTTGGAAAAATCCAAGCCTTCTGCAGGCCCCTCCATCCTGAGTGGTTTCTCATGGTTTTTCCTACTTGGGGGCAGTTCCCTATCAGGGACAATTCTAGTCCTAGCCAGACCCTGTCTTCCTTGTCCCACTGCATACATGTATGTTGTGAAACTTGCCAATATCTCGTTCAAGCCCTCTCCATACTGTGCCAAATCCATAAGCCTTTCATAGCTGCAAAGAGTCCTTGTGGTACAGTGAGTTGGCAGCTCCTGTAAAGTTTAGTCTCAGAAACCCTATGTTGTTGTTGTTGTTAAGTGCTGTGGAGTCGGTTCCGACCCATAGTGACCTTGTATAGGATTTCCGAGGAGCAGCTGGTGAGCTTGAACCGCCAACCTTGCAGCTCAGATGGCTTTGCAGTCTGGCACATTAACCCACAGCACCACGCCAGGACTCCAGAGAAACCCTATGGGGTGGTTGTACTCATCGGGTAACTATGATTCAGAATTGACTTGATGGCATTGGATCCCACCCCAGGTGGAGTGAATTCTGTGTCTCAGGGATTTTCAAATGGGTAGAAGAAGACTTCTGGCTCCTATAAGGAAAAAGAACGGAGTCCTGCAAACATGCCCCCATTTCCACTCCCAAATCACCACCTCATTCACACACACCTTGGCCACACTGCTCAGAGTTAAGGAACATGTTCTAATAAGGATACTTACCAAGGTCCTAAGTGCTGCATCAGAGCCCTGAGAGGTTTCAGACAATGAGCAGCTTCACAGAAGAGGGCTTGGATGAGATATTGACAAGTTTCACAACTATCTGCCATGTAACTCAGAGGAGCCAAGGTTCTGGGTGCCTGAGAAACTTTGGGCTCTGCTCCAACAAGCCATGTGACTAGTGGGCCTCAGAATCCTCCTCTGCACAATGGGCTGTGAGCCTTTATAGGGGAAAATGCTTAGGTCTTTGGAAGGTGCTGGGAGGGAGTAGATCGTGTTCTTGCTGTACCTCTAAAATTTGGCCTACTTTGCCTTTGGTGTATCTCAGGGGCCAGAGGGCATGCCTGGGCTGCCAGGATTTCCAGTAAGTACCGAGTAGCTCTCTTCCATATGTGCCATGGCTTTACTACTTCCATGTCTTTGTTCATTCCATTCCTTCCACCTGGAGTGATGTCGTCCTCCATCTCTGCACACTTAACGTCTAGTGCCATCTTGTTTGTGTTAACCTTCCTTGTTGCCCCTTTCTGAACCTTCTCTTTTTTGAATCCCATAAGGCTTTGGTTTTTTGTTTTGTTTTGTTTTTTCACATCTCCTGTGGTTCTTTTCTGTCTTGAGTTCTGGTTACTTTTGCCTCTTGTCCTTTGTTCTCACCTATAGTGTGAACAGCTTCTGGAAGCTTGGGTCTCTATCCACTGCAGACTCAAGTTGACTTCCTCAAAAAGCAAGTGGATGAGTCAAGCCTTTCAAGTAGATCAAGTCTGTGGAAGTCCCCAAAGGAACAGAGCTCCACAGCTCTATTCTAATAGGCCTGAGGGAGGCAGGAATAAAGAAGTAGTTGCCTGTGTGCTTCACTGTGGTGTGTCCACCACACAAGATGAAAATGCATTTCTTTGTAAAAAGTTTTATCTAAAAGTTGGAGCCTTTGCTTAGGTCCACCTACCTGGCTCCAGGTTTCTTTTAGGACTTGCAGCATTTCTTTAAGATACAGAATGAGTGGTTCTGGGGCTCCCTCTGAAAGATCTAATGCCAACAGGTGACAGCTTCTGCTTCCGGAAAACAATGAAGAAGATGGATCAAAAGTATAATAGAAATTGGTTCTTGATTGTGGAATTATGAGTGATTTTTTTTTTCTGTTTCTTTATGCTTTTTTGTACATGGGCCATTTACTAAAGGACCCTATCTTATGATGTTGCTAAAAATCCATGTGAACTAGATATTCAAGGACAGAGAAGAAAGGCAGCCACTGAGAAGGCCCCAGGGTTAGGAAGTGAGGAGGTTAGGTTTCTGGGCTCCAGCTTCAACCCCAGCTTGACGCCCCATGACCTGGAGCATGTTCCCCAGGCTCCTTTAGGGTCATTGCAGGGTGCTAGGAGAGGGTGAAGCAGATTCCAGACCCCAGCTTTCCAATAAGGGACGCTCCCATTTGACCTCCTTTGTATACTGGGGTTCCATAAAAGAATTTATCTGAACAAAAAATAAACACAGAGTTTCATTATGAAAAAAAAATAACAGATATCTGAAAGCCACTGTTCTGGTGGGTAACTCACCCTTTATCCCAAGAGATGAGATAGGAACTTGTGAAAAGTTAAATTGCAGGGAAGTGTTGAAATATCTTTTTAGGGGCAGAAGACCTTGCTGTGTGAGTCACTGTTGCAGACATTTAGTGTCTGTTGGAGCTGAGGTCATGACCAGGAATCTAAAAGTATGCACTTTTGGGCTCTGCCGAGAGGGAGATGAGCATTCTTGGCAGGGTAGTGGGCAGAACAGGGGGTTCAGAGGAAAGAAATCACTCCTGGTGGTATGAGGTAGAACACAAGATGAGGTGTGCAGGCCTGGCTGGGGTGGGTTTGGGATGTCAGGCTAAGATGCTTGGACTGTGAGGATCCAGCAAAGGAGAAGGAGTCCAGGGAGATGAATGGGCTGGGGCTGCAGAATGGCCTGGAAGAGCCCTGTGAGCTGAGGCCGCAAAAGCAGGTCAGAGGTTGTTTCAGTAGCACCCGCATGTGAAGGGATGGAGGTTCCCCAGAGAAGTTCTGAGCCATCTACCAGACTACAACTCTAGACCACTCAAGAAAATGCTGTGGCACATTGTGCCTTCCACCTAACTGAAGAAAGATAATCTCTGCTCTTCTACTTTTTGAAAATAATTATAACATTATTTCTAATTGATTGAAGCATTTTAATCTTAACAAACAGAAACCAAAAAACCCTCCAACAATTCCTTCTAGGGCCCTAGAGGACCAAAAGGGGACACTGGTATACCTGGATTTCCAGGACTCAAAGGAGAACAGGTAAGAGAGACACAGGTATCTGAGTGGAACTGTGTTCCAGAATTTGCTAACCATTTCAAATGAACTGAAAGTAATTGTGAAGACTTTCTTGTGCTACTATTCATTAAGTTGCAGTCTGGGTGTTGTGCTGCAGGGTAATGCACTGGACTATAAAGTTGGTTTGAACTGCAAGGTTGGAGGTTCAAATTCACCAACTGCTCCTGGCAAACCCTATACAGGGTCACTATGAGTTGGAACTGACTCAACCACACTTAACAACAATTGCCTGTTTATGAAGTTGGCACAGGACTTGGGTGGTGTTTCATTCTGTTGTTTATAGGGTCTCTGTGGGTCGGAACTGATTCAACTGCACCTAACAACAACAAAACTGCCTGTTGGGGATCCCAGTTAGAATATACACACTCTGAGAGAAGGCTTCATGCTAGTGTCTCTTATATAACTCCAGGGCTTAATCAAGCATGACACACAAATGGCCTCAAAAATATACATTGAATGAGAGAATATATCATTAGTGAATGACATCAATGGTAATTCTTAGAAATTACACATTGGGGCACTTGGGTTGAATGGCAATCTTGGCCCACAATCTTTGGAAATAGTATTTAGCATGCAGAGCACTCCCTATGAGCTCTCACGGACTCCATTTGTACCTTTCCACACGCACCTCTTGAATTGACTTCGCAGATTTTTATAGAAGGTGCTGTTTACAAACATATTAAAGACTTGAAGTTTTATATTCATTCATTCATCCATTTACTCATCCAGCTATCCATCTGTCTACTGGTGTGGCACTGCAGGATAAGCATTGGACTGCTAACCACCAAGTTGGAGATTCAAATCCATCAGCTACTCCTTGGAAACCCTATACGGGGCCATTATGAGTCAGAACCAACTCAGCACTTGATGACAACACTGATTCCCTGAAGTGTACTAGCCAATTTCTGTCTAAGGCACGCCCATTGCATCTAGTCAAATCCAGCTCACAGCAACCCTTTAGGAAAGAGTAGAACTGGCCCATAGTGTTTCCAAGGTTGTCATCTTTACAGATGCAGATTGACACATCTGTCTCCCATGGAGTGGCTGGTGGGTTCAAACAGTCACCTTTTTGGTTAACAGCCAAGCACTTTACCACTGTGCCACTAGGACTTCTTATACTAGGCAGAGTTATTCTTGTTAAATGTTGTCAAGTCGGTTCTAAATCATTGTGGCCCCATGTAGGGTTTCCGAGGAGTGATGATTAGGTTTGAAATGCTGACGCTGTCGTTAGCAGTCCAGTGATTATCCTACAATGCCATACGAGGATCCCATACTAGGTATTGGTGGTGGTGGTTATGTGCTGCTGGTAGTTTCAAACTTCTGACCCTGAGGTTTGCAGCCCGATTCATAACCACTATACTAACAGAGCTCCTATACTAGGTATTAGGGATGCAGAAATAATATATAAGAAGTAGATATGCCAAGATCCAACAAGGAGTATGGTCATTGTGTGATGGAGGCTGTGAAAGCCAGTCAGATCACTGCAAGGAAAGTCTGGGGAATCCAAGAGGGTGGGTGTGCTTTCCTAGAGAAGGGAGCATAAGACTTCTGCCCTTTCCCTTTCCTCCCACCATTCTGCCAGTGTCCCCCAAGGAGGGGCCGACAGTTCCAATGTCTGCTGGGCTACAGTTCCAGCAGATGGAAGACTCAATGTGCTAGGCAAAGGGGCCTGTGTTTGGTGCTGCCTGGGGATGACATCTTGGGATGCTTTTGTGGCCATAGGGCTGAGGAGACAGTACTGGCCAGGGCAGCTCTAGCTTGGGAGGAGGCCCAGGATGTCTCTTATGAAAGCATAAGTGGCTCTTGCTTTAGATGCACTGTTTCTCATGTGGTGCGGTCAAATGGACCTAGAGGGACCTACCTGTGTGCCGCCCACCACTAACCTGCCACCATGAAAGACAGCTCTGCTCCGGCCATCTCAGCACATGTGCTTTCTCTCGCTCTGCCTCTAATGCTTTTGTGCTTGCTGCTTCTTACTGCTGGCGTGCTCAGGACTCCCTTCCTCACCAGCGGAGTGGTAAGATCTGGGTATCTAGTGTGGCCTTTAGGGGATGAAGCAGGATTGGTTGGCTGCTCTGATGACTTTGGTACTACTGTCTTGGATGGCTCCCAGTCCTGCTGAAAGGAATCTTCATTGTGGACCAGCTCCTCAAGGGCCCACACTAAAGTTTGGGACCCAAGTCTGAGTGATATAAATGGCTTCTCTCCCTGGCCTTGCTCTCTGGTTACATATTTTCTCAGATGACTCTACTGAAGCTACCATTCAGAGCAGGGCCCTGTATTCCTGCCGCCAGCCAGCCCACCTCTCCCATTTCCCACTGCCTGGCGGAGTGAGTAGTGCACAGGGGAACAAAGTTCCATGTGGAGACAGGGAGCACCTACATGGAGAGAGGCCTTGGTGTTTAGACCTCCTTTCCTTTCCCAGTTTCAGTTGTTTAAACAAGAATAAAGAATTCTTGGTAGGGGAAGACCTCAAGTTGAGTTGTTAGGAATGTGAGCCACCAAATATATTTCTTTGGAAAGAAGAAGTTTGTGGAGGGGTGTTGTCTAAGAAAGGGTGGAGAGGACCATGTTGGGACTGGATCTGGAAGGGTGGGAGGGAGCCATGTAGGGACTCGGAAGACCATGGACAGAAACTCTGACGTGCATGGAGGGAGTAGTTTGGAGGACCTCAGTCAGCTAGGCAATTGTCTGTCTGCTGTAGTGGAGGGGATATCTAAACAATGGGGTTGGGTGGGTGGGGTGAAGGCAAGAGAAATCAGGGCTGTAGAAGGTGTGAAGCCCTAGTGACGGGCTGGACGAGGTGGCGAGGAGACTAAACCTCACTGAAAGGTTCTCTGAATTGCAGGGTGAGAAAGGAGAGCCGGGCGCCATCTTGACTGGGGACGTTCCTGTAGAAAGACTGAAGGGGAGAAAGGTAACTGTGTCACCAGACCCTGAGGGCATGCATCTGCTTTGGCTTCCCATCTCCTTTCTGCCTCAAGTAGTGTTCGTCTCTGTTTTAGGGTGAACCTGGAACACACGGAACCCCTGGGCCAATGGTAAGGAGACTGACTGTTTCTAGCTGGGTCTGGACTGGGACCCAAAGCATTTGGCACACTTGGCCCTGTTGGAGTTCCCCATCCCAGTTGTATGGTACAATGTGCAGACCTAGCTGAAGGAGTGTGTGGGCCCAGACCCCAGATGGAGCATCCTCTGGGAAGAGGTGTACCTTCCGTGGCGGTTTAGGCTAAGTAATGTACATCCTTGACCCGGAGGGCATGAGGGGTCTTGCAGAGGCTGGAGGAAGGAGTGGCTTTAGAAGCATGTGGGTCCAGGCAGCTACACTGGAAGAGGCTATGCCCAGAGATCAAGACTTCAGCGGGGAGACAGGGATGCCAGGACAAGACTTTAGTCCTTAGGGGCAGGGAGCAGCAAGGCTGCAACCAATTCCTGAAGTGAGGTCTCAGGCACGGCTGGTGTGAGGGCTGAGAAAGGGGATGTGTCATTCAGAATGGGGGTCATGTGAGCCTGGGGGCATGAAACCAGGGCCTTGATCCACATGTTCTGAGCAGGCCTAGCACAAGCCTACCTGGGAGCTGAAACTGAGCAACTGACTTCATACTCCTTAGTTTTGGTCCTGATAAGAGAGTTCCAGGGTCTGGAAGGGGGTAGAATCAGCAGGAGGGTGGGACGTGGTGAAGAGAGAAGCACGGAGACAAAGAGCCAGGCTGGTGGTTCCATCCATCCGTCCTCCTCCTACTCGTGGTTCAACATCACCACTGCCCAAATAGGCAAGCAGGGGAGGGAGTCCCGTCTCCACAGACCTTGAGTTTTTCAATTCTTCCCTAATCCTGTATTTGTTCTGCCCGTAGGGCCCCAAAGGACCACCGGGACATAAAGGAGAATTTGGCCTCCCCGGACGGCCTGTACGTATCAGTGTCTTCAGATGGGATGCAAAGGAAGGCTGTGTGGGTCAGGCTGACCAGTGAGCAATGGGTTTGCTAAATTGTCTCATGTGGGTTTCAGGGTCGCCCAGGACTAAATGGCCTTAAGGGTGCCAAAGGAGATCGAGGGGTCCTGATGCCGGTAAGTGCCACAACCACAGCCCCCACCCCCCACCCCCAGCCTTTGGTGGAGCTGGGGAGTGGGGGGGCTCTGTACACGGAGGGAAAGAGGGGAAGTCCGATGAATGGGTTGTCAACTGAATGTTCAGGAATGTTTTCCTTCCTTCACCATTGCCACCTGCATAGATCCTCTGTCCCAGCCCAGCTGTCTGCTCACTCTCAGGAGGGTCTCTCACCTAAAGCAGCTTCAGGAAGCATGAGCTTCCCCATCCAGACCCAAGAGGGTGGTGGAAATGGGCCCTGGGTGTAGTTAGGAAATCTGGTTTCAAATCCCAAGTCTTCTGACTCTAGTGATAAAATGCCCCCTCTGGCCTCCTTTGAACTTCCCAGGAACTTCACACATCAGAAGTGATTCAGTAAAATGTTTGTGAGTGAATATCAAAGGCACATCAACTATTTAGGCAGGGCCTCACAGGAAGGCAGCCCATTGGGATGTCAGCAGGTATAGGGTCTAGAAGAAGGAAAGCCGTGTTTAATAAGCACCTACTATGTCCCATGCACTGTGTAAAGTGCTTTTAAAGGCACTTAGTCTTGGTAATAACTACCCTATGAGACACTCTGTGGGATCCTTATTTACACAAGAGAAAGGGGGACATGCAAAAGTTAATTCGTCCTGTTATATGGCCCGAATTCAAGAAATATTGTTTCCTCTTCAAACCCACACACAGATTCTTTAATCTGGGGTGATCAATACAGCTTCTACATGGGACCCACTCCTCCTGCAGCAAGGGTCTGCTGGGGCTCCAGGTTTGAAAGTGAAAAAATGCATGGTATTGAGGCCAGAGTGACCCAGTCTTAAAAATGACTCTGGTATCTCATAGGAGTGAACTATTTTGCATTGGTTCAGCAGGCTCTCATGCAGTGCATCATGTGAGGGGACCGCGTGCTCACCCATATCCACACTCAGGACAGCCGACTGAGAGTCAGCACAGTATCAACTGTGTACTGTTTTGGGAGCCAAAAGCTGGCTTCCAACCTCAGTTCTGCTGTAAGCTGCCGTGTGCCATTTGAGCACATCGCTTCCCCACTCTGAACTTCATGATCTGCTTTTGTAAAGCAGGATTCTCCCTGTATCACGATATAGTCGGGAAATCTGTAAAGGGGACTGCTCTACCCAAGGAAGATGTTAGTCGGGTTTGGTGGACCCTACTTTCCTCCTTGTGCCCCCAAGTCCTGAGTCTGCCGCCGCTGCACTGACACCACCTGCACTTTCTTTCCTCAGGGCCCACCTGGCTTACCTGGCCCACCAGGTCCCCCGGGACCACCTGGAGCTGTGGTTAACATCAAAGGAGTAAGTAGGGGTAGAGGCCCTTGAGTCCAGAAGCACGGAATGGCTGCTGGACTCCGAAACTGGAGACTGGTGTCCTGTGGTCCGGTGGACTGATGGCTCATCTCTCTTGTTCTCACTGTCCACAGGCTGTTTTCCCAGTACCTGCCCGGCCACACTGCAAAATGCCAGTAAGTCGATGTTTAGTCACTGTCTTGAAGAGCAACTCGGAGAAAAAGATCAATCTTTGTTTTGGCCCCTTCTCTCCATGAATGTCCTCTGGGATGTCTTCTAGCACCTTCATATTGTGTTTAAGGGATGAGAAGCTTTTAGATCATGCCCAGTGGCAGTGAAACATCCTGGATCTTCTGCGTAGGCATGCAGCCAGCAGGCATCTTCTAAAGTAATTGAAAAGACAAGACCTTTTCTTATTGTAGGTACATTGGCCTCAGGCTTGGAACAATACAAAAGAGGGCGCTTAAAAATACAGATGAGAATGACAGCCGCAACAACAAAACTTTTAAAATGTAGAAAGTCATGTCTCCCAGTGGTCTTTGCAGTGACTGAAGTCTACCAATGACTCTATCATCATGTTACATGACTCTGAGAGGATGGAGTGGCTGCTCCCATGGTAGACTGAGGGAGCAGACTGTCACTCAGAGAAGCTAACTGACTTGTCTGAGGTCACCCAGTGAGGACATGAGAGAGCCAGGGCCAGCTCCTGGGCCTCCTGACCATCCAGCAGATACAGACACTCTGTAGTAGAAGGGTCTTCCGGATAGTCAGTGTAATAGACCCCACATTTTCACTCTGATTAAGAGAGTCCCATTTCTGTGAAAAAACCCTGGGAAGATGGGCCTCTCTCTGCACAGGCCTTCATCATGGACCATTCACCCAATAAATATTCTTGCACACCAGCCCGGCACCAGATCAACACTGGAACTACAAGGACAACAGTTCAAACCCACCAGCTGCTCCTTGGAAATCCTATACAGGGTCACTATGGGTTGGAACAGACTCGACAGCATTTAGCAACAGCAATAACCCACCCGGGGCTAAATCCTCCTTGGCCCTGGGGACACGGGATTGAACTAGCCAGGCATGGTGTTTACTCCTGGGAGCTTACAAATGACACTTTGGAAGATCCCTTGACGTGGGGTCATAGCTGATGTTTGTCAGAGGTAGTGACGAGGCTTGAGTCAGAGACTTCTAGATGACGCAGTGTGACTGCATGTTTGCCTAGACATCTGTCCACAGCTGACCTGTGAGGCACCGATCTTCACCCTGGGCCCAGAAACGCTGACCTGGAGGGCAGGGGACAAAGCATTTTAGGAGCTTGCCTAGCTGGAGACCATGGCACCTGGGGCATGGGTGTTTGATGACCAGCTTTCCAAGTGAACATTTTGAAAACGAAATGCTTCATTTGACATCCGGCATTTCTTATCAACCTTCTTCTGCCAGCTGCTTCCAACACCACAGCAATAGACAGTTCAGGTCTGGGGTGGAGGAACTTACCAGCAGAGCTGCACGATACCAGCTTGGTGCTGCAGCCTTCATTGTTAACCTAGAAATCGTTTCCTGGAAAGCTCTTACACACTCTATCTTTTCTTGGTGACCCTCATCCCATAAGAACAGAAGGCTCTTGGTGCTCCAGGGATCACTTTACTCATAAAAAGGGGCTGCAGAAAGTTCATGGGGGAAATTCCATTACCATTTCATTCCATTTTTCCACTAACTTTTTGGAGCCTCCTCGTATAAGCAGGGTTGCAGGTGGTTCTGTTTTAATAAATACGGAAATGGAGAAAACATGGGGAAGGTGTGTTCTCTAGAAAAGCTGGGACTCCATATTCTTAACACTTTATGGGAGTCCAGAATAGCACCCCAAATCTGACGATAGCCCCTTACAAATTACCAATACACCTACTCCTTCAGTTCATTATGATACACAAAAGCAGAGCTACCAGCTGGCCCAGCTTCATGGCTGGTACATCACTGGGACACGTGACCCCTCACACGAATCAGTCCTAATTGGTAAGTAAGGAATCCAAGGATGCTCACTGTTAGCCAGGACAGCCTTGCTAGGCTTTGTTGTCTTACAGCATTGAGCTTCCTCTGTGCTGAGGTATTGGTCAGCAGGAGCCACTTCTGTGTACTCCAGCCCAGCTACCTGATGGGTCTCCCAGCTGAAGGCCTACAATACCTGTACATCAAGGGCTGCTAGTGGCAGAGAAGGGGACCCTCTGACATCCTGGGGCTCCAGAACCAAAGGAAGGCCTGCTTCCATGACATTTCCCATCCTGCCTCCCACCCAGGACAGTGGATACATGAATATGTAAACACCAGGGAAGGGTTTGTGATATCTGACCTTCCCTTTTTCTCTCTTCAGGTGGACACCACTCAGCTTGGGAATTCAGAACTCATCACCTTCCATGGTACACGAGCCCTTCTTCACCTTAGTTTTCTCGGGGACATTTTCTGGGGAAGGTGGTTTCCATTTGTCCAGTGCTGGGTGCAGAATAGGAGGTCAGAACAGACTGTGTGCATACTTGGAGGTGTGGAAGGGTGGAAACTGAGTCCAGGTGTGGAATTGGGGCACACCTGAATTCTGTCACACACCTCTGTTCTGCACACTTTGGCTGAACCTCCTAGTTTTCAGGGATCTGTTGTTGTTTTTTTAGTTCATAAAACTGTCACTGATATCTACTCCTTGTCTGGTCCTATCCCATGCACTGAGCTGAAACAAATGAACCCTGCCCTGTTCCTGTCACCCAGGCCTTTAGAATCTGTTAGGTGAAACTATTAAAAAATAATCATAATGCAATATGCCAAGAGATATAATCCAGGGAAGGGGCGTGGGGGCCTAGCAAACCTTTACCTTGAAGGGTTTCTGGAGGAGCAGCACCAGCATCTCCTAGGAGCTTGTAAGAAATGCGGAGTCTCAGGCTCCTCCACAGACCTTCTGAGTCCACATCTGCCTCTGAACAAGCTCCCAGCCTGGTGAGGAGTAAGCACAATCAGTGATGAGAAGCACTGGCTTGGACCGTTGATTGATAAGTGTCAGTATCTCCATGATCTCTTGGAGGTTATCTACAACACAAAGAAGGTTAGGCCATGAGGCAGAAACCTGCAGATCACTGTTGTCCTCCTGATTCCCATATCCTGACATGCCATTCGTCCCCACGTTGATTAAGGAGTTTGATTATCTGTAGTTGAAACGGGGGCAGATCTAGTCTCTGCTACCCCCAGCCTGTCCAGTGGCCATGGATGATCTCAGGTCCCCTCGTTTTTTGGTCAGTGTCTGTTACAAACACCCAAGCCTAGACTGTTCCACGTTCAAATCCAGTTCAGGGCTCTCCCATCTCCTCTGAGACAAGGCAGGCGGACCTGGGAGAGGAGGGATGAAGTTAGTTTTGCTTTCTCAGATCCCCAGTAGTTCTGTGGGACTCTCTAGAAGGAAGGAGAGATAATAGGCCCTGCCTAGTCTGAGTCCTCCTCACTGTGGGTGGTTGATCTAAAGCATTGATCTTGTTCTTGATCTAAAGCCAGCAGCCACGAGCGTGCTGTCCTCTCTGGTCACCCCACCACTGTCTGGGGTCTTGTTGTAGGCCCCACTGTTAGGTCCTCAGGCTCAGGCAACTCCCCAGCATCTTCCCATGATCCTAGGAAGGCAGCACCATACCACATGCCTCCCCTCTCCCACGTCAGGGAAACCTAAGCCTACAAGCCTCTCTTCCACCCGCTTCCCCATACCTCCATCTCTAGGCTGCAGAGCAATGATGAGTTGCTCTTTCACACCTATTGAGATCTTGAGAACCAGGAATTCAAAGGGATGTCTGTCTGTCTGGTCTAGTGTCCATACCACCCACCATTGTGGGGAAGGGGAGTAACTTCCCATTCTAAAAAGCACCTGCCTGTTCTCCACTCCCACATGAGGAGTTGGGGAGAAGGAGTGGCTGTAACTCCAGTTCTGTGGAAATGGTGTTTCTGGCAATCATGGCGGGGAGAGGGGGGCCACTGTTGGTGTTTAACTAACCATGTAAGTGGAGTGATCAGATATCCGCTGTGGGTCCTAGTCACCAACTAGAAGCTTCTTCATCTCTCCTAGTCACCAACTAGAAGCTTCTTCTCTCCATACACTATCATGCCGCCAGGCATGAATGAGGTGAAATGGAAGGTTGGCCTGGGGTTGAGTCTTAGTCTGTATCCACAGAGCCCACGTACATGAGAGTTAATTATAGCTTCTGCTGGGCTCTCCTGATGCCTGGTTGGTGTCTTAATGACAGCACTTTTTTCATCTCAGGATTTGGGCATCAGCCCCACATTATCATTAGCTCTGTCTGACTTGCTAACAAACCCGAGCTTTTCAAGGTTGGGAGTTGTGTCTGATGCATCTCCTTCTGCTCTCCTCATGATTCAACAAAGGGTTTTATACCTAGTGACTTGTCAGTAGGCCTTCGTTTGTTTAAACATGTTGGTTTGAATAGACTTTGCTCAAGGGACTCAGTTTTAAAGACTTGTCTCAGAAAGATTTTACATTGAATGAAGGTAATTTCCACAGTCTTCTTCTTATGTTTTACTGTATTTCTTTTTTGACAGGTGTTAAAGGAGAAAAAGGTTCCTGGGGTCTTCCTGGCTCAAAAGGAGAAAAGGGTGACCAAGGAGCCCAAGGACCACCAGGTTATTTAACTCTTCTTCTTGATCTTTTCTTTGGGTTTTGTTCTTGAGACCTGTAACTGAGTCTGAGAGTCAGACTAACTACATTACTCCCCTGATGTCAAGCTCCACTGAGGTCTAGAGAGGCCCAGTGACGGGTGTGGAATAGTCAGGTAGAAGGCTGTCAGGAGAGGCCACAAGTCCTGTTACTTTATGTTCAGCCAGAGATTTGTCAACATGCTACAGTGTCTTTGGAATCAGAAAACCAAAGGGACATTCTGTCAAGTCTAATACCTACCCAACACACTGTGGTGAGGAGACGGGACAGCTTCCCTTCCCAAACTCTGGTCTCCTATGAAAGGTCCCCTTCTGTGCCTACACCCATATAAAGATGTTTATATAAAGTAGTGTCGCTCTGTTGGTGTTGTTAAGTGCCATCGAGTCAGTTCCAACTCAGATGACCCTGTATCGGATTCCTGAAGAGCAGCTGGTGGGTTTGAACTGCCGGCCTTGTGGTTCGTAGTCCATTGCTGAGCCTACAGCGCCACACCAGGAGTCTGTTGTCTGTTGTAGTTCTAGATCTGTGGAAACGATGCTTCTCACAAGAGCTGTGGGAACTGGCTGCCGAATAGTTGCTGTTCTTCAAACCTTAGAAGTAGAATCTGGGGACTAAAACCAAGCCAGTTTTAACTCAGTAAGACAAACTTAGTTCACGTCCCTAGGATGTAACTGACTGCCAACTGGGAGGCGTTTATTTACTTTTCAGTTTCGGAAATTATGACTGAATTTTTTGAACATTTCTTTTTTAGGTCCTCCAATTGATCCAACTTATCTGAGACATTTTCTGGACAGCTTGAAGGTGAGTATGGGTCTACTGAACATTTGGCCAGTGTTCACAGGTTCTTGGGTTTAGTCAGAAATCAACTCATCCTACTCTTATTAAAACAGGCCTATATTTCTACTTCCAGGGAGAGAATGGAGACAGGGGCTTCAAAGGAGAAAAAGGAGATTCTAACGGCCACTTCTTTGTGTCTGGGCCTCCAGGCCTGCCAGGAAGTCCTGGACTGGTTGTGAGTAGTGACCCTTCCAAGTCATCTTTCATGAAAGCCCCAATAAGATTAGGTAGTTGGAGAGTCAAGGGTAAGTCATAGTTCAACAAGCTGGAGACAGGATTTGGGCATCAGCCAGCTCTCCCCTACACTTGATCATTGCTGGGGAGCTTGGCTGAGGCCCACGGAAAACAGAGCTGGCCAAGGCTATATACACTCAGGTAACTGCAGACATAGACCACCCTGCCTTGTTCATGTAAATAGTGGAAACCCACCCAACACAAAAGCGTTGTAAACAACAAACACATCACATAATAGAAGCAGAGTGGGAAGTGGAGAGATCGATCCTTTTACAGGGCCTATTTAATCTGAAGAGAGGATGGGGAGACTTTTCACATGCTTCAGACACCTCAGGAGGGACCAGTCCCTAGAGGAGAACATTGTGCTCGGTAAAGTGGAGGGTCAGTGAAAACAGAAAGACCGCCCACAAGATGGATTGACACAGTGGCTGCAATAATGGGCTCAGTCAAACATAATCATAGTGAGGAGGGCACAGGACTGGACAGTGTTTCCTTCTGTTCATATAAATTTGCTAAATTGTAACCAACTCCATGGCAACAGCAGCATTTGATTTGAAAGGCTTGGAGGTGTCTCAGAAGAAACGTCTGGTGATTAACTTTGGAAAAACCAGTCATTGAAAATCCTATGGGGCACAGTTTTATCATGACACACATGGGGTTTCCAGGAATTGGAGCAGACTTGGTGGCACCTGTTTTTTTATTTGACCCTTCAGACATCATACCAAGGAAACGGCCTTTAGATAGGTTAGGTGTAAGATGTGAGATTTCTCTGGGACACATGAAAGAAAATCACAGTATGTCCTCTGAGAGAATGTGATGTAATGATGGATGCTCAGGGACCATTTGCAAATTCTGGTCTCAGAGCGAACCATGAGGGTAGACCAGCAATGACAGGGAACCCAGGAGTCTATTGGCAGCTCTGCCTCTACTCTGTTCCGTGGCCTTAGGACAATCCTTTCCTCTCTCTAGGTCTCAGTTTCTTCATCTGTAAAACACAAAGGCTAGACAAGATGATCCCCAAGGGCCCCTTAACTCCAGGGCTCTCTGTGTCACCCTACAAGCTGAGTAGTTGCTGTTCTTTAGTCTCTACCACTTTGAGCTGTGCCCAGGATTGAGCATAATTGTAAAAGTACTGGCGTTTTCCTACTGACTGTTGAACGCTATACTAAGTATGTGTTTTACCTCCATACTAAATATGGAATAGTCTCATCTTCATAATAACCCTATGAGGTTGTTGCCATTAGTAATCCCATTTCTTGAGGGGGAATCTGAGACTTATTGAGGGTCAATAGCTTGACTAAGCACAGAGTAAGAAGGGATAAGATCAGGATTCACACCTGGCCCTGCATCCTGTACCACTTCCTAATAGAGTTTATGTAAGTAAGGCCTTTCGGCCCAGTCATTGGTTGAGCAGCAGAATTGAATTTATAGAGAAGCCTAAACATCTGGAGGATTGTTTAATCCAAGCTAAAAGGGCATATAACACACTGGTAAAGTGCTGATTGTGAAGAGTATTTAATGCTTGGGAACTCAAGTGAAGTCAATAAGACAGAATACAAAAAATTGTATACACTTCAATCTCAATTGAGTGAAAAGCCTTAAAAGAAAAAAGGCAAAAATCATCAGAATGTTTATAGTAATTCTTTTGGAGTGATTGATTCTACATCTTTTCACTTTTATCATTTTTTTCCCTGTATTTTCTACTAAGAACATGTCATAGATGTATTATCAGAGGAAAGAGTAACTTTTAAAGAAAAGTGTTTCTCAGGGTATGAGTGTAGAATGATGGCATTGTATTGAGGCAGTGAGGCTGGATGTGAATCCGAACAACTGAGAGAACAGCTGGATGGGGTGGGGTGGGGGCGGGGCGGTGAGGGCAGACTCTTCCTAACCAAGAGATCCAGACACAGGGCCTCATTAAAGGAATGGACTTTCTTTCCTCTATTACTGTGCCTTTGCCTTAATAGGGCCAGAAAGGGGAGCCCATCGTTGGACCCCAAGGACCCCCAGGTGCTCCTGGCCTGCCTGGGCCACCTGGCTTTGGAAGACCTGGCATCCCTGGACCACCAGGACCTCCAGGGCCACCAGGACCTCCTGCTATCCTGGGAGCAGGTTGGTACTGTGAGCTGCTCTCTCATTCATGCTATCCCTGGATGTGAAGGAGGGGTGAACAATCAGTTTGTGAGGCGGGCAGACCTGCAGTTAGGCCTCAAGAACTCACCCACTGGGAGTCCTCCCTCATCATCTCTGATCTTGGCTTCTATCTGTAAGGCAACTTTGTAAGGCCACATCTGCCGCATGGTGGGAAATAAGGCTACCTATAACGTACAGTTTGTGCCATTAAGTAGAAATCTTGAGCTGCTTTCTCAGTTTGGTTTGAAAAACCCTGGGATAGGCAAGTCATGAAGCATACTGTTGGCCAACCTTGGACCAATAATATTGACACAAGGTAGCGGAAATAGGATCACAGAAAAACATGGTGAATCCTTCTGAAAACAATAGTTGTAAAAGAGGAGGGGGAGGGGACATTCCAAGAGAAGGGATGAGGATCTTGATACTGAAAAGATAGAAGATTTAGGGCAGATAAAACCATAGGTGTCCACGAATCCTTGAAGGATGAGTAGGTAGTTCAGGAAGTGGAGGAACATTACAGGATGAAATCAGGATGTAGAAAATGTGTGTAGTTCGTAGTAACTCTACAGCAGGGAGACACAGGACACCTTGCTCCAGTGAATAAGGATTGCCCCTCATATAATGTAAAGCAATGAACAGTTTACAAAACCTTTCATGTCTGTCTTCCCAGAAACCCTGGGACGGGGAAGGACAAAATGGATATTAATATCTAACTCTTTAATGGATGAAAACACTGAAGTTCAGGATGGTTAAGAGACTTGGTCAAGGTCATGAATGCTAAACATGACTGCAATCAAAACCTAAATCCTTTGAGCCTTTATCCATTATATATTCACTATCTACATAAAATTTCCAAGTCCTGTGTAACTGAAGACTTGCATACAATGACCTGAACATTTCTGTATGGTAATTCTGGAAGTTGTGAAAGCATCCTAAATCCTGCCAAGAACTTCACAATTTGCAGGTGGAGTGAGGGGAGGGGGAGCAATGTGGGGTTATGGGTAGGGAGTCAGGGGATTAGAAAGGTCGAAGGAGATCAAATACATAAACAAAAACAAAACTCACAGCCAACCTAAAGGACAGTAGAACTGTCTCATAACAGTTTTCAAGGCTATAATCTTTATAGAGGCGTCCTTGTATGGCTCTGTAGGATAAGCACTGGACTGCTAATGTCAAGGTTGGTGGTTCAAACCCACCAGCTACTCCTTAGAAACCCTCTATAGGGTCACTTTGTAGCTATAAGTAATATTTTTTGTTGGCCTAAAGTAAGGCTTTTTGTTGAGGAATCTTGGACTCCTAGAGAGTTCAAGGACAGTCCTCAGGGATTTGCCATTCCCTGAAATTGTTTGTAAATTTGTTTGTGTGTGTATTTTTCTGAGGAAGAGGGCAGTAACTGTGATCTGAGTTTTAAGTGTTTTGCGACTCTTCAAAAGTTAACAACACTTTGTTGAGTCCTGTAAAACTTGCAAAGTGCATCCCTAGTTTGTATTTTACTCAGTTCTCACCACAGCCCAGTGAAGCAAATATACCTGTTTGTATTTTATGGAAACTGAGGATCAAAGAGCTTGAGTTTACCCAAGATCACACAAATGGAAATTGATAGACCGCCATCTTGAATTCATGTCTTCTGGCCCTACAGCCCTGCCTTCCTTCTCTTTCCCAGCCTGTGTCCTCTGTCAGAGATCAGATGGTGTCTCTGAGGTGAAGTTGTGTTAGTCAGGACACTTGTCTATGCAAATGACAGAAAAGTCAACTTCATCTGGCTTAAACAAACAACAGCAAAAGGAGTTTGGCTCACTTATAAAACTGTAAAGTTCTAGGCATGGCTTGATCCAGGGCTTCAGCCAAGAACCCCAGCTCTTCCCTGAACCAGTCAATGTGGCCTGAGTCATATGCTGGATCCAGAGCCTCCAAGACGTGGTTTCAGAATGGGATGGTTGGCAGCACCGTGAGAGGGACACTGAATACTCCTCTGTGCATTTTCACCTCATCTGCTATTTAACTTCCCTTTTCTGCTTTGTCTTAGCCGTGGCCCTACCAGGTCCACCTGGTCCTCCAGGACAACCTGGGCTTCCTGGATCCAGAAACCTGGTCAGTATTAGTATTAATGTGTATTTGGGTGGATTTACTTAGAACTTTGGCCATAATATTCCAAGCTGGCACACAATTTGTTTTGGAATGAGACCGCCATGAAAACAGAATTGGGGGAGGAAACAAAACCATGTATTCCTTTAAAACGCAAATCTAAATTATGAATTAAAACAGAGAAGACATTTTGTAGTACTAAAACATTTAAATACTGAAAGCAATATTTATGTTCTATTCAGATGACTCACCAAGTAATAAGATACAGGAAAAAAAAAATCATGATTTAAGTTCCATCCCTCTAAGCTATAACAAGAACCAGTCATATTGCATCAAGTTATAAATGCAAGTGTTCTTTGCTGGTCCGTGCCATCCCTTCTCTATTCTGCCAAGGGATGTTGCTTACCTTTGATGCTCTGCAGATCACTGGACAGGACTTGGGAAATACTAGAGTGCACAAAAGATGAAAAAGTATCTCACAAGGAGATCAGGATCCTAGGAACACTTTATCTTCACTGGAGCTTAGTCAAAATTTGACTACCAAAAAAAGTATTCTCCTGCAAATAATAGAATTTTTATATCTGGTCACTTTGGGGGAATTTCTCAGCCATTTTGACGCACAAGGTCATTCATTCAAGACTGGTTGAAAATTACTTTCTTAGAGTCTTTCTCAGTTGAGATGAAAAAAGAAAACACTCCACCTCTTTTGGCTGAATGTTTTTGAGATTTGATGCTAGTTACTAAACTTTTACTGTGACATAATGCACTGGACCGCAAGGTCATTTGAACCACAGGGTTGGCGGTGTGAACGCCTCAGAAACCCTACACAGGGTTACTATGAGTAGGAACCAACTCAACAGCACTTAACGTCAACAACTAGATTTTTTAGTGCTTCTGTGTCTCTTTCTAGATAGGCCAAGATGACTATCTAATCTTTAGCAGTTTTCTAGATAGGGAACTGACAGACCACCATTTGCTAGCATGAATTTAATATTGTGGCTACCCAGCTAGGCACAAGAAGCTCTGTATGCTTGCTTACTTGCATTTCTCATTTTTATTTCATTTTTTTCCAAATGAAAACAATTTTGGTGACTGTTTAAGGAACAGTACAAGATAACACCATTTTAAAATGTTAATGTCCCTGAGCAGCTGAACAAATGCAAGTGGCAGAATTTACTGGTGATTTTGCTGATGCCAAAACCCAACAGACAACTCCGCTTATTAACTGTAGTTAAGTGTCTCTGAACTCAAAAAATTTTTTGTTTCTATTGTGATTTGTTATTTATTTGTAATTTATAATTTGTGTTTCAAAGCAATACATGTTTTTGTTTTATCAGAAAGAATGCCCTTTGGCTATTGATGAAGTTGTATCTCTTCATTGTTGTTGTTAAGTGCAGTTGAGTCTGTTCCTACTCAATTGGTATAGGGTTTCCAAGGAGCAGCTGATAGGTTTGATCCACTGGCCTCGTGGTTAGCAGTTCAGTGCTTATCCTACAGCGCTGTACCAGGACTCCAGGTATCTGTAGGCATAATAAGTAAGCCTTTTCATTAAACGTGAGGAATGGCGCTAATAGACTTTCCAGAGGGGCCAGTTTTTCAAATGGTACCACTGCTCGAATGATAACAGCAGTGTTTGAAATCTAAAATGATCGGACAGGTCACAGCGTTCAGCACCATGGACGATATGCTACAGAAAGCGCATTTGGTTATAGAAGGGACCTTCATCTACCTGAGGGACAGCACTGAGTTTTTCATTCGCGTCAGAGACGGCTGGAAAAAATTACAGGTAATCCTTAAATGCCCTTTAACAAACTACCCCCAATACCCTCTAAAAATCATCGTCTGCTCCTAGAAGTTCCAATTTCCAGTTGATGTTCATTTTCACTGTCCTGTTTTCCTTCAAGCTGGGAGAGCTGATCCCCATTCCTGCCGACAGCCCTCCACCCCCTGCACTTTCCAACAATGTGAGTATTTTCACAGCTTTGCTGCTCATTCCTTCAGTTGTCAACACTTCCTGAGTCCCCCTGGTTTCAAGTGCCAAGCCCTCCAGCCAGCTCTGCATGCTGTAAGATGTTGTCGAAGTCCAGAAATTACCAGGTGCCAACAGAAGAGTCTCACAAGACTGGGCAAGCTGGAAGAGTCTCACAAGGGCGAGCTGGAAGCCGAGGTTGTTGTTTCCAGTGTAGTAGCTGGATTCCTGCTTGGCCTCTGCTTATTTATCTGTGAAAACATTGGTTGGTGTAGGCAATTGGAAACGCTGAACCACTGAGTCAGTGTAAACTCAGAACGAGCCTATAGGACAGAATGGACCTGCAGTCCAGAAGAGACCTTTAACTGGGCACTCCTACTTCCCGGCCTGGGAAGAACATCAGCAACCTACATTGGTCAATGTTTAGTCCTACAGTGACCAGTATGCTTGACTGTGTGTACCTTCCCACCATCCTCTCCTCCTCCCCCCCCCCCAAAAAAGATGGGCTGTACCGTTACAATAAGGTGTGAGAAATGCTTTGGGCAAGGGCAACACTGATGGGTCAGAGAAGCCCATATGGCGGTGAGGTCTAAGCTAAGAATGAAAGGAAAGTACTATCTAAGCAGGTACTATCATCCCCAGTTTGCAGATGAGGAAACTGAGGCTCTGAAAAGGTAACTTGCTCTATTAAGTGACAGAGCGAGCATAAAATGTGGGTCCTCTGCTTCTTTGGTCCAGAGCTCCTTCTAAAAGACTTAAGAACATCTCCCCTCCTTTCTGAGGATAATTGTCTTTTGGGAGCCAGAAGCTCCTCACAATTAAGAGGGGCCCAAAGACAACGGCAAATGACTGACAGCACCTTCTCTAGAAAACCAACACTAGAACCTCAGTGTACTGACGAACAAATGGATGCGTATTCTGAAAAACCAAAAAAATGTGTTTTTCTCGTTTACATAACAGCCGTATCAGCAGCAGTTTCAGCCTGCACTGACACCTATTTTAAGTGCCAATTACGAGAGGCCTGTGGTAAGTACAATTTATGCATTGACTGTGTAAATGCTTATTGGCTGTCCACTATGAGCTAGGCCCTGTGCTTGGTACACAGCTTCTACCCTCCAGATGCTTTCAGAGTAGTGAGAGAGGCAAACAAAAGATAGGTAGGTGTGCATGGTTTGATCAAAGATTTTATAGAAGAATGAGGGCCAAAGGGGGAAGGGGCGGATTGTGGAGCAGAGTTTTAAATATTCAGTGAAATCCAGACTTCCTGGAGCCATTAACTGGATAAGTCCCTGAAACTATTGTGGTGCTGATCCTACAGCACCACACCAGATAATCTCTTAAATTTTAATCCCTGATGTGTTCTTTGAACCAAAAAAATAGCTCATTTAATTAGTAAGGTACATCTGCTTTGAGCAATGTGCTCTTTGAAAGATCCATCTATATGAGATCAAATTGATAGCGGCAACTTGGAAAGTTGAATGGTACAGTTAGTGGGCGGTGAGTTTAAGATAAAGTTTATAGAATTATGTAGACGGGATAAAGAAAAGAGTAGCATGGCTTGAAGAATGTAACCTGTGTCCCTGAATTGTACATGTAGAAAATCTTGAGAGAAGGTGTATGCTTGGCTGTGTATACTTTTACTCACCCTCATGCCTCCCCACACCCCCAAAAATAGGCTGTGCTCTTACAATACAGTGTGATAAGTGGTTTGGGCAAGGTGAACACTGATAGGGCCCAGAAGCCTGCATGGAGCCAAGGCCTAAGCTAAGAGCTAAAGGAAAGTCAAGAGCAGAGTGAGCCAGATGGAAAGAGGACTGTGGGAATTCCAAGTAAAAGGGCTGGGGCGGAGTTGGGGGGCGAGGCAAGGAAAAGCACTGTGCATTTATTGCAAGTATTCCAGTGGCTGAGAAGAGAGTGTAGTCTACAGAGATCAGCAAAGGCAGGATCAGCAAGGGTTAGTCATCAAGGGCCTGGGAGCCAAGCTAAGGATTGTGACCTTTTCTAGTGGGCAGCGGAGAACTACAGAGGGGCCTTAGGCTGTGCAGAAACAAGAAAAACACCACATCCTCCTGCCCTACCTCATGGGACTCATTCCTTATCCTTAAGACATCTAAAAAAAAGTTTTTTCTTACAACTTGTACCCAGCTCCTGCATCATCCCTCCCCAGCTCTATCCTGATGAGATAAAGTCACCTTAAGGTGCCCACCTACATAACATGCATGTGCTTATAGCGTGCGTAGCATGCAGAGAAAATTAATGTGGTGGGGGTTACGAAAGCTGCAAAATGTATGTGTGCATTGTTTGTGTAAAAATACAGTACTCCTGAGATGAGGTTGAGTAAGAGGACAGGGGAGGAGGGATGAGTGGTTCTTGGTTATGAAATGCAGACTGAGAGTACAGCAGAGAGGATGGTGAGACAGGGCAATAAAGAGGGCTGGGTTTGGGGAGAGGAAGTATGGAAGAAAATAAAGTATGGAATGGCTTTGATTTTGGCTGCTGAACAAGGTGTCAGAGATATGAGGGTAATCTTATATGACTGCCAGCTTTCAAAAGAGTTGACCCCAGCCACCTTCGTGTGATATGTGAAAGGACACTGCCATGCCTGTTCCTTTTTAGTACCTTTACCTCCTGTCCAGGCCTGCTGGGGAGATGGAAGAATGTGGGACTTGCAGCAGGCAGACAGCTAGCTGGAGCTTGGGACCCAGCTTAAAGTCTCTACTATGTAATGTTCTCCCATGTTAACTATCACATAATTCACAATAAAACATTAAAAAAAAAAAATCTCTACTATGTGTAGGAAACTGGGATGTGAGAGTACACAGAGGTCTCAAGCTAATGGCTCCAAGGCTACTCCAAGGAGCCAATGTAAGGAAGGCATTTCTACCATTTAGCACCATTCGGGCCTGGGAGACCACGAGCTCCCTTTCACTGGAGACACTCAAGCAATGAATGACATTCCAACATTAGGTAGAGGTTGAAGAAGATGGCCTCAAAAATGCTTCCATTCTAAGAAATTGGGGGCCTTATCAGGAATATGAAATGGGTTTACCTTTACCTCTTTGACTTCGGTGTCTCTTCTCTCACATTTTCCAGCTGCACCTGGTTGCTCTGAACACGCCGTTTTCTGGGGACATCCGAGCTGATCTGCAGTGCTTCCGGCAGGCCAGGGCTGCTGGACTGCTGTCCACCTACCGGGCCTTCTTATCCTCCCATTTGCAAGACCTCTCCACAGTTGTGAGGAAAGCAGAGAGATACAGCCTTCCAATAGTGAACCTCAGGGTAAAAATGAATACTCTTCCCATTGCCTTCTGGGTGCCCTGGCTACCCCAGGAACCAGAAGTTACTTCCACTACATCACATCATCTGAAGAGTGGTGGTTCAAAGCCCAGTTCTGACCCTGATTGTCTGTGTGATTTGGAGCAAATCCCTCTCCCTCTCTGTGCCTCAGTTTTCTTATATTTACACTGGTCCTTCCTACTTGGATGGTCTTGTAAGCCTTTTCACGTATGTAGTTTTATTTTTTGGCTTATAAAGCACTTTATATCCATTATTCCCAATGGTAAGATACTTGTCCACTGAAGGACCAGCAGTTCGAACCCACCAGTGGCCCCACCAGAGAAAAGAATTGACAATCCACTTGTGTAAAGTTTTCCAGGCCAGGAACATAAGTCAGGATCAAGCGGAGGGCCCCCAATAACAGCATCTGTTATACAAATACAATAAAAATGAGTTATCCTTCTCTCAGTTTATCAGTAGAGGAAATGGGAGCTCAGAGGAAGAAACCAGTTTTCAGAAGCCACTGAAGACTAGACTTTGTCTCCCTGCCTAGTCGAAAGCTTGGTCCAGGGCACAGGTACTCTTCCTGACCTGGATTCAGTGCTCTCTGCACATCCAAGCTGCCAAAGCTTCAGCTAGTCCTCTGCCCCCGTCTGCTGGCCAGCCAGGGCCGTGGAGGTTCCCTCGATCATACCATGGAATCAGTGATTCCTTTAAGACAAAAGAGAGACAGTTCTGCCACCATTCATGCACATCCCTGGTCCTGACTACTAACTAGATCCCCAGGACACTTTGAGGATCTTTAGTCCCCATAACCTGAGATGAACCTCCTGACCCCCTGACATCATACCAGCACTTCCATCTCCTCTCCCACAATTCGGTCCCAGCAGTTCACCCACTTGTGCACTTATCCACTGGGCTCCTTCATAAAAAAGAATGAAGAGATTCAAGATTCCTCTCCATGTTACCCACAGTGCACCATGGCACAAGGCCTGGCACAAATTTGAAGCTCAGGACAGAGGCATAAAAATGTTGAAAATACAAAAAATAAAATAAAGACCTGATACATACTTTTAATAGAGAGGAGCCTTGTACTTACATCTACTGAGTGAAATTACCCTCAAGAAATAGATTCAAACCAGTAGGGACCAAGGGTGGGTTTCAAATCAATCCATACACACTGCCAGAACCCCTACGCTGCTAAGACTCTGAGTTTAGGGCTGGAGCCTTAGGTGTGAAGTGGCCTCAGAGCTTTGAAGAATGAGTAAAGTTAAGTCCATTTGTTGGCTGTTCATATGATTGTAATGTAGTGTTTTATCTCCACAGGGCCAAGTGCTTTTTAATAATTGGGACTCAATTTTTTCTGGCAATGGAGGTCAATTCAATACTCACATTCCAATATATTCCTTTGATGGCCGAGATGTGATGGAAGACCCTTCTTGGTAAGTGGAGTTGAAAGCCCTTTTGATGTAGGGTATGGCAAACAGTTTTAGGAGACGTCCTAACAATGGGAAACCCTCTGGGATGTTGCCAGCATAAAGCTTCAGTGAGGCAGATGAGGGGCATAGAGAAAGCCCTGGCCTGGGAACCAGGAGACGCTGGTCAGGTCTCTCCCACTGCGTGAACCTCAGCGGCTTCACCTGTACGGTGGGCAAGGTCACATACACCACAGGCCTGTTGTGAGAGCCAAATGAATCTGTGTGAGGAGGCACTTAAGTGGTAAGTGATGCTACTCCTGGTGACCCTGTTGCCCTCAACTGTGAGTTGTATTCAAATTCTTTGAAAACTGTGAGGTTTTCCAGAATAGAGCAACTTGACAAACATTCCCTGAGTGTGTACTCAAGGCAGGGCCCCACTCCTATCCTTCCAGGGAAAGACAGGCACAGACAGACTACAAGCCTAAGCCTGGTACTGTAGAATGGAGATGCAGATGGCCTGGTAGGAGAAGGGAGGAAATATTCATTCTTACTTAGATGGCACAGTGGTTAAACTCTGGGCTGCTAAGTGAGATTGGCAGTTCAAATCCACCATCTGCTCCGAGGGAGAGACCTAGCAATCTGCTTCCATAAAGATTACAGACTAGAAAACCCTGTGGGTCAGTTCTGCTCTGACCTACAGGGTCGATAGGAGTCATCATTGATCCGACGACACGCAACAACTTGATGGTAAAACTCAAAGAAGGCTTCATACTGTTGTTGTTAAGTGCCAGCCAGTCAGTTCCAACTCATACCAACCTTATACAGGGTTTCACACCTGGACTCCAACTTCATGCTGTTGTCAAGTCAGTTCTGACTCATAGTGACCCTGTAAAGGGGTTCCTAGGAATGGCTGGTGAGCTTGAACCGCTAACCCCATGGTTCAAACCAACCTTGCACTCCAGTGCTTTATCCCACAGCGCCATAGCAGGACTCCAGCTTCATGTAGGAGGAGGCCATTTATCGGACTTTGAAAAATGTGGAAGATTCATTAGTGTGTAAATAATAGAGTCCACTCCTGACTTAGGGACCTCATGAGCAAAGGTTCAAATTCACCACACAGTGTTATGATTTGAAACAACAGGGTTCCATGGTTCTGTGGGTTAGGCGTTGTGCTGTTAAGTAAAATAGTTGGTGGTTCAAACTCAAGAGCTCCTCAACGTGAGAAAGCTGGAACTGCTCCCGTGAAGATTTAGTCTCAGAAACCCTATATAGAGTCACTATAAATCAAGTCAACTTAATGGCAATAGGTTTGGGCTTTTTGGTACAAGCTGGCTATGGTTAGAACATGTTGCTGTTTAGTGCCATCGAGTTGATTCCAATTCATAGTGACCCTGTATCAGGTTTCCTAGGAAAGGCTAGTTAGTAGTCCAGTGTGTATCCTACAGCACCACATCAGGTATGTTCAACAAGTTAGAAAAAACGATGACGGTAGGAGATGGTATGGGGTCAGTCCATGAAGAGATAAAGGAATTTCACCCTTGATTGCCTAGATTTATGCCAACTCACAAAGTGTCATTTTCAAAAGTAACACAACAAAATTACATTTTAGGCCCCAGAAGATTGTTTGGCATGGCTCCAGCCCCCATGGCATCCGTCTCGTGGAGAACTACTGTGAAGCATGGCGAACCGCGGACATGGCCGTCACAGGACTGGCCTCCCCACTGAGCACAGGGAAGGTTCTGGACCAGAAAGCATTTAGCTGTGCTAGTAGGCTGATTGTCCTGTGTATCGAAAACAGCTTCTTGACAGACGCCAGGAAGTAATGAACGATCCTCCGGTGATTCCTAAACACTTTGCGGTTTTCTTTATGTGAAAAGTTGACACTGAAACTTAAAATGTCTAAATGTTGTAAATATTACCTTTTTTTTTTTTTTTTAAATTACTCATTTATCACAATAGCAACCAAAGAAAACATACCTCAATACACTCAAAGCTGAAGACGTAAAGGACTTAGATCAAACACACAATCTAATCCATTTACTGGTGCTAGATTCTGCAGGAAACCCCATGCAGTGAGAGGCAAACACATCCCAACACAGGTTAAGAGCAAGTTGAAAATAAAGGTCATGACCTTCTGCCCACTGCATCCTTCAGAAAGTGATTTCCTCCTTTTCACCACTGTTGTTGAGTGTAAGATGTCCTTCATGTTTTCTTTCAAAGTCAGCGTTTAGAAATGTTATGTGCAGACCCAGTGCTTTATTCCTGAACATACACCCATCGTTCACAACTGCTGTTCATACAGAGAAACAGAACAGCTCCAATGATCCTATTTGTATCTGCAGATATTACCAGACTTTAATTTCTTTCTCTAAAATATCAATGCTGTCATGCTTTAGGAGTTTTGTATTTTTACACAACCATATTATAGTATGGCATCTGTTTATAAAACGCTGATTTGCTGGAAAAGTCAAAACTCCAGATTATCTGAAATCAGAGGGAAAAAAAAACAGTACATAATTACTACTTTTTCCTTGCCTCCCCTGACTCCACCTTCCCAGCACTGATTTTATGATTTTCATTTGGCAACTTTTACTGAAACCAAAAGGTCCATAGGGATGGATTTTTGGAGAAATGTATATCTTCATGCTGTATACTTTGACATTTTGTCCACGTAAGTGACCATAAAAATCTTTTCCAGGCTCTTTCTTCTGGTTGACTTTCTTCCTCTCATCCCTTTATTCTACGCCATCGATGTGGGAACTGACCTGGGTTGGTCTCTGCCACTTGTGTTGACCAGTACCGGTTGCTGCAGCGTCAGTTCTGACTTATGACAATCGCATGGGTTGCAGAGCAGAACTGTGTTCCATAAGGGCTCTCATGACTGTGACTTTGCAGAAGCAGCTTGCCTTCCCTTCTCTAGATTCCAACCTCCCACCTTTCATTTGGTATCTGCATGATTATAACTGTTTGCATTACCCAGGGACTCCTTGTCACTTGTGCTGCCCCTCAGGAAATAATGGGAGAATGAGATTTTCCTATCATGCTCCTCAGTTCCTACCTGTTGTTCCCCATTGGGTGGGTAGAGGAGTTCAGAACTGGGAAATGTTGACTCTGCCACTGTCTCAGTGCATGGCTTTGGGCAAGTCAGCTTTTTGTCTCAGGGAGGTTGGAATACAATAATTATAATGCCAATTCCAAGGTATTAGACATCAGACATTAGACAAGTATGTCTCATTTACTTTTCATCATAATCCTGCAAAGTTGGTATTTTTATCTCTGTTTTGCAGATGAAAATAAAAAGTTGAGACTTGGGAAGTTACGTGTTCCAGGTCACACAGCTGGAGAGAGATGGGGCTGGTTTCAGACTCAAGCTGTCTCTCCAGTACCCAAGATCTTTCCAGGAAGCCCTCTGCCTTTTCCCAGCTCCAGGAGTCTGATTCTCTGGCTCTTGGTTTGACCCTGGGGGATAAACATAATCACCAGGCACGTGGCCTCCTGGGATATTTCCTCCTATTCTACTGGGCTGGCCCGGAAATGCAGCAAAGTGAATTCGTCCCACTAGACTTTGGAGTAGGAAGGAAATGAAAGAAAGAGAGAGAGAGGGAATTAGCAGACAGCCCAGAATCTCCACTAGGGATTTCCTACATTAAAATGGTAAGTCTCTCTAATGAGTCGTGGATGATGTGGGTTATAGGTTGGAAAACCCCAGGGATGGATTGTTTGGGTCTAGCCTGCCCACTGAGTGACTCCCATCAAGGGGCAGCTGGTGAAGGACAGTGGCCACAGGAACAGGCTGGGTACTCACGGGGTCATGAAACAAAAATTCAATTCAATTCAGTCAGATCCCATGATGGCGTGGCCCAGGACCACTGGTGGGCTAGTGTAGGGGAGAAGGGTGGAGGAGGTGACCACCTCCTACCAAGATATCAGGTATGAGAGTACTCTGGGTTCTTCTTGGAGCACCGGGTGCCAGGTAACTTAGGTAGGGGGACAATCAGAGTAACAGTCACGGGACATGTGCCCCTGCCTGTCAGAAGGGATCCCTACTGTTATTAGATTGGATTGTGGCCCCTCTCTAAGTGAAAGATACCACCACCCATTGAGTAGATTTTTCCATTCATTCACTGGCTGAATGCCTCCTTAGAATAATCATAATGTTGTTGTCACTGTTGGCATTAGTTGCCATCAAGTTGGCCCTGACCCATTGTGACTGCCATTATGCAACAGAACAAGGCAGGACCAGGTCTGTGCCATCTCCACAATTGTTGGTATGCCCCAGTCCATGAATGTGGTCACTTCCAACCTAGGCTGCTCCTCCAGCACTGTGCGATCCGACAGTATTCTGTAGTGATCCATAGGTTTTCATTGTCTCATTTTTTTTGGAACTAGCTCACAAAGTCTTTCTTCCCAATAATAATAATGAATAAACATAAAATATGTGCTAGCACATTTAAGAAAGTCTGGATATTTCCATGATTATGTTGAATTTTTAAACATCAGAATCTTTTAAAAGTATTTTGGGGTACTCTTGATTTGCTGCTTGTGTTGGTCTTTGAAGGCACTGAGGCACTGACTCACTTTGCCAGACTGGCCTCTGGCCCTCTAGCTTCTCTCCTCCAACTCTCCACACTGTTTCTTCTCCAACTCCTCCTTCTCTCCACCAGTTCATCCTCTAGGATGAATTTTCTGAGCAATGTAATTCCAGGAGAACAAGAAAGAGTCCTTAAGAGAACTGCACTCAGTGTCTTCTTTGGAGCTCCCCTGGAGATAACGGATTCATTTGCAAGTAGTTTTCTGGGGACAAGACCTCAGGAAATCTTAGTAGAAGAGTGGGGAAGAGAGATAGGGAAAGATTGGCAGGATTTCCTTATGAGCAGGTATCTAAGATGCAATTATTAATGTTTCCTTGTCTGAAGCAAAGAAGAATGAAGAAAATCAAAGAAACAAATAGTCCAAAGGACTAATGGACTACATGAACTAATCTCCATTGCCCTGAAAGCAGAACTAGATGATTCCTGGTTACCACTGAACCATTCTGATCTGGATCACAATAGAAGGTCCTGGACAGAAAGAAAGAAAGAAAAAAAAAAAAAAAATGTAGATCAAAATTTAAAATCTCAGAAAAGACCAGACTTACTGGTCTGATAGAAACTGGTGGAACCTCTGAGACTGTGGCCCTTAGACACTCTTCAAGCCTAGAGTTGAGCCCACCCCCAAGAATCAACTTTCAGCCCAACAGTAGACAGGTCTATATAGTAAATACTGCACTAGGGAAGAATGCACTTCTCAGGATAATCAGTCCTATGAGACCAAAAGGGCAACATTTGTCCAAGAACAAAGCGCAGAAGGCAGGAACAAAAGGATGAGTGGAAATGGGAACTCCATGGAGAAGTGAGAAGAGTGTCGTTTCACTGAGGGGATTGCAACTAGTGTGTGTAACAAACTGTTGAATGGGATTATCGAATGCATCCGAACTGTTGTTGCTGTGAAGTGCTGTTGAGTCAGTTCTGACTCATATCAACCCTGTATAGGATTTCCCAGGAGCAGCTGCTGAGCTTGAACCATTGACTTTTCTGATCAAACCAACTTTGCAGTCCTGTACGTTAACCCACAGCACCACACCAGGACTCCATATACTAATGACTATGTAAAATTTTACACAATATAATAACTGTTGTTGTTGTTGCTAAGTGCCATCGAGTCTGACCCATACCAACCCTGTAGAGGGTTTCCAAGGAGAAGCTGGTGAGTTTGAACCACCAACCTTATAGTTCAAACGACTTTGCAGTCTGATGCATTAGCTCACAGCACCACACCAGGACTCTGTAAAATTTGCAAGGTGAGAAAAAAGAAGGAAGGCAGGTTTTCCCACTGTGGGTAACTAGATTGTACTCCTTACTTAGGATTCCTGGAAGCCAGTATACAACAAGCACCTCCTTGTTTCCAAGTGGACAAGGGATCTGGGGTATTTCTATACCAACCCCCATCAGTCACTGAAGTAGAGAACTATGGCATTCCAGTATGTCTGCTGTGTTCAGACAGAAGGGGCTCAGGGTACCCGAGAAAGCTCTCAGACAAAGAGGTACCACCACTGGTGATAGGAAAACGGAGGGATGCATTGTACATGTATCACCATGAGTGTGAATCCAGTGGATGGCTACTCCCAGCACAACACTGCAATCGTCAGGGCAGAGGGAAAGTAGGCAAGGCACTGCTGAGCCAGCTACATCAGGATCACATTTTATTTCAAGATAGCCGTTTCAGCTTAATGTCCCCACCTCAAAATCTTACTGAAATGATAGAAATACTAAAACCAAGAAAAGAATCTGCAATACCCCTGCGAAATAAGAAAGAACCTTGAGGGCTTTCTGGAAGATATGAAGCTGGTGTGGTAGGGTGTAGAGCAGCTCCATCAGAGGCAGAGCCTGCCTATGTATCTCTCCTGACGCTGATACCCTCATGGCTGTGCCCACCAGGGCTGGATGCAAAGGTAAGCTCAGAACAGCTGGGTGAAAGCTCACAGTGACCTACCCACTTGCTGACAGCACCCAGGACAGCTAGCAATCCCTTTCAATAGAGACTTTCATATTTATAAATATCAACAAATACATAACAAGTACCAGCTAGTCATCCAAGGAGATTCAGAAGCCTGAAAAACGGAATCTAGCATGTCAGTTGGAGCAACTGACTTCAATTAAAAATATTTTTTATAGAAAACAAGTAAATCTGTATTGTCAGTGACATTTCAGGAGATAATAGAAGCATGACATGTAATTCTAGGAGAACAAGAAATCGTCCTTGAAAATAAAGTACTTGTTCCCAT